TAGAGTAGAGTAGAGTAGAGTAGAGTAGAGTAGAGTAGAGTAGAGTAGAGTAGAGTAGATCAGAATAGAACAGAACAGAACAGAACAGAATACTTCATTGGCCAAGTGTGATTGAATTTGTCTTGGTGTAAATACTCTCAGTATACATAAAAGAAAAGATACATTTGTCAAGAGTCGAGAATCATAAGGGATGACACTTAATGATAGTCGTAGGGTACAATAAGCAATCAAATCATACTAGAAAACAGTCAATATAAATCATAAGGATACAAGGGACAAAGTTACAATCATATAGTCACAAGTGGGAGGGGATGGGTGATAAGGAGTGATGAGAAGATTAATAGTAATAGTAGTGCAGACTTTGTAATAGTTGAACAGTGTTGAGGGAATTATTTGTTTAGCAGAGTGATGGCTTTTGGGAAAAAACTGTTCTTGTGTATAGTTGTTCTGGTGTGCAGTGCTCTATAGTGTCATCTTGAGGGTAGGAGTTGAAACAGTTTCTGTCCGGGACGTGAGGGGTCTGTAAATATTTTCACAGCCCTCTTTTTGACTCGTGCAGCATACAGGTCCTTGATTGAAGGCAGGTTGGTAGTAATTGTTTTTTCTGCAGTCCTAATTATCCTCTGAAGTCTGTGTCTGTCCTGTTGGGTTGCAGAACCAAATCAGACAATTATAAATGTGCAGATGATAGACTCAATAATTCCTCTCTGTATCAGTAGCTCCTTGGGCAGTTTGAGCTTTCTGAGTTGGCACAGAAAGAACATTCTTTGTTGTGCTTTTTTGATGATGTTTTTTTATGTTAAGTGTCCATTTTAGGTCATGTGATATAGTAGAACCTAGAAATTTTAAGGTCTCTACTGTTGATACTGTGTTGTCTAGTATTGTAAGAGGTGGTAGTATGGGAGGGTTTTTTTCTAAAGTCTACCACCATTTCTATGGTTTTGAGTGTGTTCAGTTTCAGATTGTTCCCTTACACCATGAGGCAAGTTGTATAACCTCCTGTCTGTATACAGATTCATCGTTGTATTGAATGAGACCAATCACTGTTGTGTCATCAGCAAACTTCAGTATTTTAACAGATGGATCATTTGAGATGCAGTCATTGGTATATAGGGAGAAGAGAAGTGGAGAAAGCACACAGCCTTGTGGGGGCCCTGTACTAATTGTACAGGTATCAGATATGTTTCTGCCTATATTTGCTAAGTTGTCAAGGAAAAAAAATGCAGCAGCCCCATATTATTACCTTTATTGAGTACAACATGTGTACAATGAGATTGGCTGTTATGTTATGTTATGCAGGCTTGGACAAGACATTCAAGGAAAGCGGAATGGAGGGAAAAGTCAACCATTTCATGATCAGATGAAAGGATATCTTGTTGAATTGCTGAGTTGATGAACGTTTGCCATCTCAGCCAAGTGCAATTTCCTTCCTTATTATGCATAAAAGGTTATGCCTTTGTATCCCTTTTTGGAAACTATCCAGAACAACTGCTGGCCAATAAGTCAATCAAACAGTGTTGAATTGAAGTGTTGCAGAAATTCTTGCTTCCAAATCAGGACACAGGAACACGAAAGGTTGGAGAATACAGGTTTTATTTGTGCACAAGGTTCAGAGCATTAGCATGGCTAATTCTGAACCCCCGGCTTTTCCTGAGACATTGCTTTTATATGTATCATGACCTCAGACCAGGCCGGGGCGTTCCTTGTGTTACATTTTACCAAAAAAGGAGAATAATGTATACATTTCTATAAAGGAAATATAGAGGAAATGAGAAGTACATTTTTGATTACTCAGTTATCTTACACCATCTGTTATTTTTCATGTCCATCCTTGTTTACAGTAACGTGGTTAGTTCCAGTTCCTTAATTCAGCAGTTTCGTGGTTTTATGCAATATTTTTATAAGAAGCAAAGCATGGGGTCAGGGGATTTCTGCTAAATGTGTACATTCTTTATTAGGAATTTTCCATACTGCTTCAGAAGCATTTTTCTTCCACACCTGGAGGGGAGAATGGGGGCTGCCAATAGGTAGGACATTCCAGCCAAAGGCGAGCCCTGTTGCACTTCCCTTGCCTTCCAGGTTCTCCTTCCAGGGAACTTTACCCATTGGGAACAACCCAGGGTATCCAACAAGCAAAAATCCCCGATAGGGAGGAAAAATTAAAAGTGTATTTTTACTTTACAGAAGATAAGCCAATTAATAATCACGGTAATTCAATTTATAGAACACGTTTTGTTTGATTGAAGTAGCATTGCTTATAATAACTCTAAAAGATAGGTCAATATTTATTCACTGGAAGAGATAGCCTGCCAAAAGCTGCAACTCTTATCACTTCATGTAGTCGAGAAGGTCAAGTGGAAATGATATGGCTACAATTTTTTTGTGCAGTTTTGGTGTACAGCTAGTCCTTGAATGTACGACCACAGTTGAGCCCGCAAATGTCTGTTGCTAAGTGAGACCTTTGTTAAGTGAATTTTGCCCCATTTTACAACCTTTCTCATCACAATTGCTCCAGTTGTTAAGTTAGGAAGGCAGATGTAAAGAGAATCTGGCTTCCCTGCTGACTTTGCTTGTCAGAAGGTTGCAAAAGTGGTTCACATGACCCGTGCAACCATCATAAATATGAACCGGTTGCTAAACGTCTCAATTTTGATCATGGGATCATAGGATGCTGCAATGGTTGTAAGTTGAAAAATGGTCATCAGTCACTTTTTTCAGTGCTTCTTGTAATTTTGAATGGTCCCTAAATGAATAATTGTAAGTCAAGGACTATCTGTATTGATTAAGCACCAGGTTAGAAACCAGGAGAACATGAAATCTAGAGAGCAGTGGTGGGATTCAAAACTTTTTACTGCCAGTTCTGTGGGCATGGCTTGGTGGGCATGGCAGGGGAAGAATACTGCAAAATCCCCATTCCCTCCCCACCCCACTAAACCTGGTTTCCAGCTCCATCCTCCTATGCAGGGTAACAAAAGAAGAACCCAGCCGATCAGTTGGAACTTGGGAGGCAGAGAATAGATGGGGGCAGGGCCAGTCAGAGGTGGTATTTGCCGGTTCTCCGAACTACTCAAAATTTCCACTACCGGTTCTCCAGTACTGATCAGAACCTGCTGAATACCACCTCTGGTAGAAAGCCAGCTGGAGACCTTCCTTTCAGCCATAGGAAGGACAAACCATTTTCAAAAACGTTGCCGAAAAAAAATTAGGGACCTGTTTGTCTTATAGGCATACCCACAAAAACTTGAAATTTGCTACCAAATTGTTACAGGAAATCAACAATTATTCATGCCATGACTACATATATGTGTTCAAGGGAAAAATCAATCTTACAGCTCTTTTCCCGTGTGTGTTGATTTTATTCAGTGATATAATAAATAGTAGCAATGGAAATGGTATTTTGATTATATATTTCCAACAGATTTTGATTGTGTCTCTTCTTGTTTTTTTCTTTGTTTCTTGAATGGTAGTGAAAAGCTAATATGTCGAATTGTTTTCTGTTTTTCAGAACAACGAAATGGCAGAGCTGCAGAGAATTAGGATGAAAGATGAAATCCGAGAGTATAAATTCAGGGAGGCACGGCTTCTTCAGGATTACACTGAACTTGAAGAAGAAAACATTACTTTGCAAAAGTTGGTTTCCACACTGAAGCAGAATCAGGTGAGCAGAGGTGGAATTTTCAATCAAAGATTTTAAAAGTAGTAATGCCAAATTCTCAAATGAGTTATGTATCCTATTACAACAGAGATGTTGTTTCAGGAAAATTTCTAGCATTCAGTAACTATGGTAGGACAAAAATACCCAAGTGCCATTTGGCTCACCCCCTTGCCATCATTTCACAAGTGAAAGCTTCTCATAAACCTTCTTCTAACAAGCCCACATACAAACTTACAAAAACCTCACTTAAAGCCCTTTCATCCTATGTAGGCTAAAACTGACAAAGTGCCTCTCCCCAGGAAGCCAACCTGCGAATCAAAAATCATGAAGCAAAATCTTCTCAATGTAGGGAAATTGCTTAATCACAGTACTGCTCCCAAATGCCAGAACCCCCTAACTCAAATCCCAGACCCCAGATTAAGGTAATCTGCAGGGTGAGAGAAAACATTTCCTCACTATCAGAAGTCACACGTCCTCAGGGCAAACACTTCAACTGACATATCTGAATAAAACTACCCTTTTCTTCGAGCAGCTGTCCAGCATGTTTATTTGGGACCCACTTAGATCTGAACCCAAAACTTTCTGGCACTTTGTTGACCCTTAAAAATCATACTTAATATGTAAAACATTATTTACTAGCAATTGATGGAGACAGTACATTGAATTGTACAAAGCATAATTCTAAAGGCATCTCACTACAACACCAATATAGTTCAATATTATATGACATTAGCATAGTCACCAAGTATAAGTACTACTTTTTAACTCAAATAAATCAGAAAACAATATTTAAAGTATCTTTAAAGTGATTTCAAAGTAGAAAAGAACAAAAGAAATTTTGTTATAATTCATTGATAGGTTAAAGCATGGGTATCAAACTTGATCACGTCACATGACATATTGTGACATTTTTTGCCTTTGTGGAGCTGTGTGCGCGTGGCCTGTGTACATCTGGCCCATGGGCCGACCATTTGACAGGCCAGGTTAAAAGGATCACTTTTATTGAGAAAGGTCAGTTGAATTAGAGACTAGGGCATCAGAGGGAATTACATCATTTGATTTTGTAAATAACAATAAAGCAAATTACAGGAGAATTCTGATCTATTGCATATGAAATCTGTTGCATTGAGGCATAGTAAAATTATGTTTTTCAGTGTATACTGAAGCACTCTGAACAATTATAAGAATACTTACTATCATTTCTTAGAGTGCAATGAAACCTTGATATTAGTAACAATTAGAGATGACAGACTGTTCATTGTTCTCAAATGCCCATTAATATAGAAGTATGTCATTTATGCAGTTGTCTTTGTGCAAATAAAAACAACAAATTCATAATTGACATTAGTTTACATTGTTTTATGTTGATAAATGACACAATTAGTCTATTTGCATAATCATGCCATTCTGGAAATGAAATCGAAGTTGTGAGAAACAGACTCACCACTCAGAGATTCGACAAAGTCATTGAGTGAAGCAGCAAACAGTTTATTGTAAAATACTTTCTTGAAAGAGCAGGTGACTACCCAAGAATAGATTCCAGCAACTTTTTATTACCTCGGCCCAAAGCGCATGTCCCTCCCTTGCAATCCCATCTGACAAGGACCACAAATTCACAATCTTTATGGAATGCCTAGTTCCCCTCTTTGTGAATTTCCCCATGTTTATCTTTCTCCCTATCCTTTGCCCAGTTTCCCCACTTTTCCCTAAGTTACCTTTGCCCTTCCTAAGCTGGTTTCTTCATATGGTTGCAATTTTGCTTAAGCCACAGTTCCTGCTTTCTAGGATTTAGCTGCATACGCCTAAGGAACTGAAACAAATGGTTAATTTCTTCACTATGTGCAGGATTGTGTGGTTAAAACTGCCAGCTAGTTGCCGACTTGATTTTTAGGACCTGTTTTCTAGACTCGACTTTTTTCCTTGGTGTTCCAATGCCCTATTGAACTTCCAAGTACACATCTCTTAAAAGTTATTTGGTTGTTGCAAAAACAACACTATCTGAATCAAGATCTCGTGAAGTGTTAATACCATTTTATAATGCCTTGGTAAGGCCACACTTGGAATACTGCATTCCGTTTTGGTCGCCATGATGTAAAAAAGAAGTTGAGACTCTAGAAAGAGTGCAGAGAAGAGCAAGAAAGATGATTAGGGGACTGGAGGCTAAAACATATGAAGAATGGTTGCAGGAACTGGGTATGTCTAGTCTAATGAAAAGAAGGACTAGGGGAGACATGATAGTAGTCTTCCAATTTCTCAGGGGTTGCCCCAAAGAAGAGGGAGTCAAGCTATTCTCCAAAGCACCTGAAGGCAGGACAAGAAGCAATGGGTGGAAACTAATCAAGGAGAGAAGCAACCTAGAACTAAGGAGAAATTTCCTGACAGTTAGAACAATTAATCAGTGGAACAACTTGCCTCCAGAAGTTGTGAATGCTCCAACACTGGAAGTTTTAAAAAAGATGTTGGATAACCATTTGTCTGAAGTTGTGTAGGGTTTCCTGCCTAAGCAGGGGGTTGGACTAGAAGACCTCCAAGGTCCCTTCCAACTCTGCTATGCTATTCTATTCTATTCTATTCTATTCTATTCTATTCTATTCTATTCTATTCTATTCTATTCTATTCTATTCTATTCTATTCTCTTTTATCGGTTTCTTACAAAGTGAATAATGTAAATGTAACTTCTTTTGGTAACTTAAATCCCTTGCCCAAATTTCATGGATATGTTCACTATTTCAAAATAGAAATTTTGTCCATTTTGTTCCCAATTTACAAAATGGGGATTCCTTAACTAAAATAAATTACTCTGTGTCTTGGCTTCAGCACAGCTCATGCTTCTGAATACGAAATGCATAAGGGCTATCAACCCAGTTTTTGTTATGGTAACTTTCAAAGAACTTTTAAGCTGTGTCAGAGCAGGCACAGTGGCTGCCTTATTTAAGAAGCCAAGAGCATGCTAAAGTGATTTGAAATATTTAGTTATAACATATACAACAAGCACACCTACCATTCATATGAAAGCAACTTATCTAAAGGAAGGAACTACTAAAAAGGAAGTAAGAAGAAGAAAATAACACCTTTATTTTCCACATAGTAGACCAAAGGGCTTTAAGAAAAGACTTTTAGACTTATATACCACTCCATGCTGCTTTGCAGCCCTCTCTAAGCAGTTTACAGAGTCAGCCTATTGCCTCCAACAGTCTGGTTCATCATTTTACTGACTTCAGAAGGCTGGACGGCTGAGTCAACCTTGAACAGGACAGAACTGAACTACTGGCGATCAGGAGGATCCCCTGCAATACTGCATTCTAATTACTGCACCTCCACAGCTCCTTGTGCATTCATCTTTTATATGTTTAAAATATAAAACGTTTACATCATTTATTCATCTGTTACATTTTTCTCAGTTACTGTTGTCCCTGGTAATTCTGACTGCTTATATTCTCACACTTTGTCCTGGACTTACTTCGTTTATTTTTCAAGGAAATAAAGCAATAACTGCTTTTGTTTATTTATACTAGCCATGCAATTCACATTAGACAAATGTTTCCTTTAGTTCCTTCAATAGCCCTGAAGGGTGCTAACCGAGGTTACATCTGCATTCTTCAACTGTTTTATCTTTCCTCCTTCTCCATTCCTTCATTTTGGCTCAGCCAGTCTCAAAAAACATATAAAATAAATCATATAGGGAAGAATGTAAAAATAAAATAAAAGTTCTATGTAGAGAATGGAGAAAATCTAAACTATCAAGAATTGTCAACAACCTGTTGGCACATAATCAATTCTTGATAGTTTAGATTTTCTCCATTCTCTACATAGAACTTTTATTTTATTTTTACATTCTTCCCTATATGATTTATTTTATCAAATGCAGAGAATACAAAAGCAAGGGCTGTTCTGCTATAAAGAACCAAGTCAAAATTAGGCAGTGTTGTAGTTAAAATGCAAGGCAGCAAATAACAAAGAAGAGTGAGCATTTGTCCTAATGCCAGAAAAGAGATTAGGAACTCAGCAAGCACTTTTTACAGGGACCATACCTGAATATACTCTTCTTATGCAAGGAGCATCTTTGTATATACCAGTAGTCCTTTTAAAAACCTGTAATTTAAGCTTTGGCCTGAACAGCACAATTAGAAGCACTTGAACTATTCGTTTTTTTAAAAAAACTTCTTCCTATTGAGTGTGATTGGGTATACTTAAAGGTCAGTTCATTGTACTGAGAAGTGTGCATCATGAAATGGGCTTGATAATGTTCATTTTGGTGGCAGGAAAGGTGCAAATCTCGGTTATTCTTACAATGTATGCTTTATTAGATAAAATATAGTGTATAACTGTCATATGATGTAGGTAACTGCCAACGATACAGAACCCCGATCTTGGCTGAAGATTCTGACCTTTCTCTGTTCTATTAAAAAGTTAAAGGCTTTTCTCCTCAGATTCTGATCTGTGCTATTTTAGAGTAAAGATTTTTCCTCAGGAAACTTAACACGCATTCAACTATATGCTTGACATAACCCACCTGCATGCTTAAGAAGCTTACTTGTATTAGCCAATTACTGCATCGTTACTAGGCTGCTACCCCTGGGGTAAACCAATCATTGGACCTGTATGTATAAGTAAACTGCTACATTTAGAGTATAAGAATAAACACAGTTGACCGAGAAAAGAACTTCTTGACTCGGGAGACGCTTGACTCAGGAATCATGTGTATGCGTCTTTGATTGCAACAATATACTAGTGGAGATAAATTTTAGCACCAGAATTACCACATTTTAGCAGAGATAAAATGTATCAGAATAACAGAGTTGGAAGGAAACTTAGAGATCTTCTAGTTCAACCCCATGCTCTAGCAGAAGACCCTACGCCAGGGGTTTCCCAGCCTCCGAGACATGGACCAGTACTACTCCGTGGGCTGTTAGGAACTGTGTTAAAGAGCTGGAGGTGGGTGGGCGGATGGCGAGTGAGGGAACTTTCATCTGTATTTGCAGCTACTCCCTAACGTTAGCATCACCACATCAGATTTACCTCAGATCATCAGGCATTACATTCTCTTAGGAGTGCAAACTGTATTGTAAACTGTGTACATGTGTGATCTAGGTTGCATGTTTGTTCTCCACCTTCCATCCCCAGTCCATGGAAAATTTGTCTTCCACAAAACTGATCCTTGGTGCCAAAAGGTTGGGGATCTCTGCCATATACCATTCCAGATGAGTGGCTGTCCAGTCTCTTCTTAAAAGCCTCCAGTGATGAAGCACCCACAACTTCTGGAGGCAAGCTGTTCCACTGGTTAATTGTTCTCAACATTAGGAAATTTCTCCTTAGTTCTAGGTTGCTTCTCTCCTTGATTAGTTTCCATCATTTCTTGTCTTACTTTCTGGGGCATAGGAAAATAGGTTGACCCCACCCTCTCTAATTCTCTGCTCATGTATGGCAATTCTGTGGTGATACAATTGTCAATTATTAGCAGAGATAAAATCATCATAATCATCATCCTCTTTTAACAACCCCATAATCCCTGCAGGGTGGAGTCTGGGCAACTGAATGGAGCAGAGTGTTTACTGGCCGGATGACCTTCCTGTCACCAATGCGGAGTTTTATTCAGCAGATATATTCTCAGTGTACCCAGAGAGAGAAATATCTGTCTCTACCTAGGATCAAACTCACAGCCTCCTGAATGTGAGGCAACAACTCCAACTCTAAGCCACCACACCACTATTAGCAGAGATAAAATATAACGATAGAATTAGCATGATTTCACGGGGCTAAATTTATTCAATTTGTAATATCTCCTTTGCTTACCTGTTTTATAATGCCTTATTTACAGGTGTTTATTTGAAGAGAAGCGGCAAATGGCAGATTGTGTATAAATCCAACTTTTAGCATTATGAATCTTCTTTATTTTATTTAATTCAGGTTGAATATGAAGGCTTGAAACATGAGATAAAACGATTTGAAGAAGAAACGGTGTTGCTTAATAGTCAGCTAGAAGACGCCATTCGGTTGAAGGAGATTGCAGAACATCAGCTAGAAGAAGCCTTGGAAACATTAAAGAATGAAAGGGAGCAGAAGAACAATCTGAGGAAGGAACTGTCTCAGTATATCAATTTAAATGATAGCATGTACAATAATCACATTAATATCTCAGTAGATGGATTAAAGTTTGGAGAAGATGGGAATGAACCTAATAACGATGACAAGATGAATGGACACATTCATGGACCTCACATGAAGCTGAATGGGGATTTTCGGACGCCCAGCGTCAGGAAAGGAGAATCGTTGCACCCGGTCTCTGATCTCTTCAGTGAGCTGAACATCTCTGAAATGCAGAAACTGAAGCAGCAGCTCATGCAGGTAACATGGAAGATTCAAAAGATTCTTTGTAAGGAGAGGCAAGGGTGCACTGCTGGGGGTTCGCAGGGGTTCGGGAGAGCCCCTAAACAAGATTTTGTGCAGTTTGGAGAGCCCCCAAATCCCACCCCTGGCTGGCCCTAGCCACCCCTCCCCACTCCTTCCCTCCCAGGAGTCCCCACGCAGTCTATTTTGGATGCAGGTAAGTACAGGGCGTGCACAGAGGCTCGGGGAGGATGAAAAACGGGTCTCCCAGTAGTTCGGGAAGGCCAGAAATGGGCCCGTTTGAGCTTCCAGAGAGACTTTGGAGCTTGGGGAGGCCGTTTTCACCCTGTTGGAGGCTCAAGGAAAGCCTCCAGAGCCCGGGAAGGGCAAAACCGCCTTCCCACCATGGTGCAGGAGGCCGACTAGGCCACACCCACCATGGCCACGCCCACTGAGCAGAGAACCCCTTGCTAAAATTATTGAAGCCCACCCCTGAAAAGAGGCCACCTTACTTACAAATGTTCATATGGCGTGCAAAGATACCCAAAGCATTTATTTCTCTGAGAAAAATTATTTGCAGAAAAGAAGTAAACATGCCTTGAAAAAAAAAAGCTGCTGCTTCTCCACTTCAAATATCTTAACAATATGGTTTCTTGTTTTGTGCATTTTTCACTTTCACTTTCACCAAACTAGGTAATGTCATCAGTCCTGATGACGTTACCTAGTTTGGTAATGAAGCGCCTGCAAGAAAACCACCAAGCTCAAGGACCACTAAGGACCCCTCAGCTACACATATTCTATCAATGTTTCACTTTCTTTGTCGGATTCAGTTTTGAATTGCTACTGCCATTTTACTACTACTTTTTTTGTAGCCCACCTCACATAAAATAATAAAAATAATCCCGATGGATTGAGCCAAGGTCCACCTAAGCCTAGCATTTGTTTTTCACAATGGCCAGTAGAGAGATCACAAGCCAGAATAGTAGACATTCCTTCTCCCACACTTATTCCCTGCAGCTGCTATTTAGAGGCAAGTTGTTCCCAAAGGGACCCCAAGAACTGCTCTCAATGTCTCACTCTGCAGTAGTTGTAGCTTCCAAAATGTTTTTCAAAAGAAGCCCGTGTAGACCACATTGAAACAGTCCAAGAGTGAGATGATGAGGGCTTGAGTGACTGAGCATGTATTAAAGTTGGCCATTTTCTTCGTATTAGTGTTACATTTATATCTATCTTAATACTTTATAACTTTATATTTAATACCTCCCCATTCATTTGGGAAAGGCAAGAGTGGTCAGTCACCTGCAGTTTGCAAACCCAACTGAATGGACAAAGGCCCAAGTTATGGCTTTCTGATGCTAACAAAGATAATTGCTGGCTTTGGTTTGTTTATTGGGAGAAGACAATTGTTATATTGCCCTCTATCCGCATCTGAATGGGTTTCCTTGCTTTAAGGCAAGAGAGCTTATTTACCTCCTGCAGTCCTACTTAACAGATATTTTGATCAGTATTTCTGATGTTCTTTACAGAACCTGATTATCTTTCTAATGGGATACTTTACAGGTCTATTTTGCACTTTAATATCCTGTTCCTGTCCCATCTTTTTCCCTTCTACTTTTTGCCCCATTGTTTACATGACAAAAAAAAGGGATTTTCTGTACCTGCTGTGAGTAGGCAGGTCCAATACTGTGAACCAATGAGTGTTTATGTTTTCCTTCTGTCCCATTTATGAATGGTGATGCTGAAAGTGTTGCGCAATTATTCCCAAGCATACTTTTCTTCCCTATAGAATGAATTGGGGAAAGATATCTACATCTTTTATGTTCTGATTGGGTGTGGGAACAGCAGGCTAGGAATCCAGAGTTCCTGAGATTTATTTATTTTATTTATTCTGTCAATTGATTATAACAGGTATAAGTATCAACATAGTTATGAATACATGAAATGAATACATATAAGAAAAAAAAAAACAATAGGGCAGGGACGGTAGGCACGTTGGTGCGCTTATGCAGGCCCCCTGCAGACCTCTTAGGAAAGGGGTGAGGTCAATAGTAGACAGTCTAAGGTTATCCCTTATACAGATAATCATTTAATGGCAATTGCCATGTCTTATGTTAATGCATTCCTCAAGTTAATTCCTTGTTCCAGTAAGATTCATTGGATGACTTGTGGTCTCAGTATTTGTACAGGGAAAGAAAACAAATTCTTCCTGTTGATTTTCTCCATACCATGTACAACTCCCTATACTTTGAACATGCAGCCCTTTAATAATAATTTTGTAAACCTAAAGAACCTTTTTTTCTTGTAGGCAAAAGTTACAATCCCTCTACTCACTTTGGTTGCCCTCTTTTACACTTTTTCCAGCAACCCAGAATTGTGTATCAACTTCTAGATTTTATAACAGCATCTATGATCTTGGTGGTTTGATTTTCAATCATTTTCTTTGGAGAGGCTTCACAGATTTCACACATGCTGCATACTAAATGGTCATTATGAGATTGCAGCAGGATATAAATTGAACCAATCAATCTTCAGCTGTGTTCTGGTTATATTTCCATTAAACGTTTTCATAAATTATTTTGTATGCATCAAGAGGTTTGAAAAAGTAATGACTACACTGCAGGAAACTAAGTTTGGTTTCATATCACTCATCAAACAAGTTAAAATGTTTCAAATGTTTACATTTGAAATGGTTGATTTTTGTCAGTGTAAGTTTTATAGTTAAATTGTTAGATTTTTTTAAAAATGCACTAAAATATTCATTTGAAACTGTACATTGAAGTTTTTCAAGGTTGAAAAAAGTATGGACAATGTTTGATACCCCTTAGTCTCATTTTAATAGCTGACTGTATTCATGAGGAGGTAGAAGGAGTGACTTACAACAGTTCACTTGGTGATGGTACAAAGTTACAACGGCATTGAAAAAAGTGACTTATAACCATTTTTTTCACACTTACCACCATTGCATCACCCCCATGGTCATGTGATCAAAATTCAGATGCTTGGCAACTGACTCACACTTATGACAGTTGCAGTGTCCTGAGGCCAGGCGATCACATTCTGTGACCTTCAGACAAGCAAAGTGAAACGGGGAAACCAGATTCACTTAACAACCACATTACTCATTTAACAACTGCGGGGATTCACTTAACAATTGTGGCAAGAGAAGTCATAAAATGGGGCAAACCCATTTAATAAATTTCTCACTTGGCAACATAAATTTCAGGCTCAATTGTGGTTGTAAGTTGAGGACTCCCGTTGGTCGTGTTGTTGATCAGCTTGCACAGCTGTTGCTGCAGCATTAGATGCTTTAGGATAGCGATTCTCTCAAACTTGGCAACTTGAAGATTAATGGCTGGGGAATTCTGGGAATTAAAGCCCACGCTTCTTCCGGTTACCAAGACTGAGAAAATTTGCTTTACGATAAGGACAAAGCAGTAATAAAAGAGACCTACCACTCAAGTTATTTCTATTATCTTAAGCATTTAAGGTTTTTTCAGGTGATAGAAAAGCGAATCGTGTTTTATTTATTTATTTTAAAAGACTTACAGAGACTTATATTTTATACACAGTCCACTTGTCCGGCAAGTAGCACTTGAAATAGTGGATTTGAGAAAGCTTGGATTCTTTTAGCTGTATGCGGTTGATTCTGAAGTGCGACTGAATGAGGAGGACTATTGTTTCTTGAATTGTGCAGCCATCCATACACAGATACATGTAGTCCTTGACTTACAACCACAGTTGGGACCAGAATTTCTGTTGCTAAGCAAGGCAATTGTTAAGCGAGTCAGACTTCATTTTGCTACCTTTCTTTGCCGCAGTTTTAAAGAGAATCAAGCAGTCATTAAACAAAGCCAGCTTCCCCCATTGAGTTTGCTTGTGGGTACCCTCCTTTGAGAGCTTCATGCAATGAAATTTCATTTGAACATATGCCAATTAGTGTATATCCAAATTGACAATGAAGTTATTCTAAGTCTAGGAAGCCAGTTAGGAAGGTGTTGTGGCCCCTCGACTGCTGGCCGAGCTAGCTGCAGAGTCAGATGAGGTGGAGGTGGAAGGAGAGCCTGGGCCAGATTTGGAGCCTTTGGAAGGCTCTGATAAGGAAACAGCATCCGAGACAGAGGCAGAGCCTGGGCCTTCCGTTCTCCCCCAGGTGGAGTGGCAGCTGTCTTTGGGGCCTGAGCTGAGTGAGGGGGACGAACAGATGGGGGCTATCCTGGATGCACATATGTGCAGAGAGGAAAGGAGAGGAGAGCAAAGGAAAGCAATAAGCTGGCTCTCAGGGAGAGGCAGACGCAGACAATAGCCAACCTCTCCCTGGCTGGGCAATAAATAGGAGGTGTTTGAGAGTGACCCAGTTGTCATTTCCAGTATATAGCAAGTAATTCGGATTTCTTGGCTAAATAGGTTTGTTGGAACTAATTACATTTGATTTTTTGTTTATTCCTGTGAATAAAAGACTGTTAGTTCCCTGTTATAAAAAGGGGGTTGTTTTACTCATGCGTAAACATTTTATCACTACTTGCGAAGGCTGGGTCAGAACAGATGGTGGCAAATTGCAACCACATGATCCTGGAACATGCAACCATCCTAAATACATGCTCATTGCCAAGAACCCAAATTTCACATGACTATGGGCATGCTGCGACAGTCTGGGTGCAAGGATCAGTTATAAGTTACTTTTTTTCAGTGCCATTGTAACTTCGAACAGTTGCTGAACAAACAGTGGTAAGTCAAGGATACTTGTACAGGTAGTTCTCGACTTACAACAGTTCACTTAATGATCATTCGAAGTTACAACGGCGCTAAAAAAGTGAGTTATAACCTTTTTGCATTCTTACAACTGTTACAACATCCCCATGGTCATGTGATCCAAATTTGGATGCTTGGCAACCAACTCCTATTTATGACAGTTGCAATGTCCTGGGGTCATGTAATCTCCTTTTGCGACCTTCTGACAAGCAAAGTCATTGGGATAGCCAGATTCACTTACCAATTTAAGAACTTAACAACTGTGGCAAGAAAGGTCATAAAATGGGGCAAAATTCACTTAACAAATGTCTCACTTAGCAACAAAAACAATTGGCTTAATTGTAGACATAAGTTGAGGACGACCTGTGTAAGGTTCAATGTTTAAACTGCACCTTTAATTATAGGGGCCCCTAGTTCTTGTACCCCAGATTCTTTCTGGAAATATTTACATCCTTTTTCTGGGTTATTGCAGGTGGAGCGTGAGAAAGCTATTCTGCTGGCTAATCTTCAGGAATCTCAGACCCAGCTGGAGCACACCAAAGGGGCCCTCACTGAGCAGCACGAACGAGTCCATAGGCTCACTGAACACGTCAACGCAATGAGGGGTCTGCAAAGCCACAAAGAGTTGAAAGAAGTCGATTTTGAAAAAGGCCGAGATTCTGGGGAAGAAACCCATGATTATGAAGTGGACATCAATGGCTTGGAGATCCTAGAGTGTAAATACAAAGTAGCTGTTACCGAGGTGATTGACCTCAAAGCTGAAATCAAAGCCTTAAAAGAGAAGTACAATAAATGTGTTGAAAACTACACTGAGGAAAAGGACAAGTACGAGAGCAAGATCCAAATCTACGACGAGCAGGTCTCCAGCTTGGAAAAGTCAACGAAGGAAAGCCATGAGAAAATGGTACAGATGGAGAAGGAGCTGCAAAGGATTACAGGGGTTGCCAACGAGAACCATAATACCCTCAATGCCGCCCAAGATGAGCTGGTGACTTTCAGTGAAGAGCTGGCTCAGCTCTATCATCATGTCTGTCTCTGTAACAATGAGACGCCTAATAGGGTTATGCTGGATTACTACAGGCAAAGTCGAGTTACTAGAAGTGGGAGCTTAAAGGGACCTGATGATCCAAGAGGACTCCTTTCTCCACGCCTTGCCAGGAGAGGAACGGTACTCCCCGTAGAAGTCAGAGTGCCAACAGAACAGGGTTCAAAAGAGAGCACAGAAGCCAATAAAGAGCCAAGTCCAACAAAGACCCCCACTATTTCTCCCGTCATTACAGCCCCTCCTTCTTCCCCGGTTTCTGACACCAGTGACATTCGGAAAGAGCCCATGAATATTTACAACCTCAATGCCATAATACGGGACCAAATCAAGCACTTGCAGAAAGCGGTAGACCGGTCACTGCAGCTGTCCCGGCAGCGTGCAGCAGCCCGTGAACTGGCACCCATGATTGATAAGGACAAGGAGGGTTTAATGGAAGAAATAATGAAACTAAAGTCCCTGCTGAGTACAAAACGGGAACAGATAGCAACCCTCCGGGCAGTGTTGAAAGCCAACAAGCAGGTAATTTGGAAACTCTAATTTCCTTTTTTTTATAATGAGGTGTATAATTTATGGATGGTAAAATAGCTTAAAGGGCAATTTTACAATTGATTTTAAATCTTCTTGTTGCTGTGTTTACTTTTGAGCTTCTTGTGAAATTAAGCAGTGGGATATTAGGTTTGTATGAGGTCCCAGAAGACAAAAAAGCAGGTACATGTTGCTAATTACTTTTCAAATCAACTTGGATTAAATTGGTACCATTATTCTGATACTGTTAGAAAATTCTGGTCTGGTTTCAATCTGGATCATGAGAGAAATATGGCAGGGGTAGGATTCTACCGGTTCAGACCAGTTGAGGGGAACCAGATGTTACATTTACATCTGGTTCGACAAACCGGTATTTGAACTGACCGTCATTCCCCCCCCCCCCCGGAGTCTCCACATGGCCCATTTTTGATGCATGTAAATGCAGGGTCTGTGCGGATGCTCTGGGAGGGGGAAAAATGGGCCTTCCGGAAGTCTGGAAATGGGCCTGTTTCTGGCTTCCGGAGAGCCTCCAGAGCCTGGGGAAAGCCATTTTTACTCTCTCAGAGACCCGAGGGAAACCTCTGGACCCTTGGGAAGGTGAAAAACGGCTCTCCCGGAAATTCCAGTAGGCCATGCCTACCATGGCCAAGCCCACCCAGCAACTGGGCAGCGAACCAGTTGTTGGGATTTTTGAATCCCACCCCTGAAATATGGTATAAGGTCTCCTGCTTAAGCAGGGGTTGGACTAGAGGACCTCGAAGGTCCCTTCCAGCTCTATTCTGATTGATTGTTTGATTGAAATGCACTGGATGAGGCTGCTTGGAAAGAAAGTACAGGTATTCCTCAGCTTACGACCACAAATGAGCCCCAAATTTCTGTTGTCAAGTGAAACGTTTGCTAAGTGAACCTTGCCCCAGTTTACAACTTTTCTTGTCACAGCTGTTAAGTGAATCACTGCAGTTGCTCAGTTAATAACATGGTTGTTAAGTGAATCTGGCTTCCCCTTTGACTTTGCTTGTCAGAAAGTCGCAGAAAGGTGACCTCATGATCGAAGGATGCTGCAACCATCATAAATATGAGTCGGTTGCCAAGCATCTGAATCTTGATCCCGTGACCACGGGGATGTTTGAAATGGTCAGAAGTGTGACAAATGGTCATAATTCACTTTTTCAGTGCTGTTGTAACTTTGAGTGGTCAATAAATGAACTGTTATAAATTGAAGGCTACCTATAGTTTATTTGATAGCATAGAATTCAACAATTGAGGTAATTACAAATTAGGGGTGTTGTTGAGACTGGTCACATTATAGGAAAATTGCTCCTTTGTGAAACTTGTGAATGTGTCATCTGAAATCTTTATTCTGGTGGGCATGCAGCTCCAGTGGAGGAAATTGTCCTCATCTTACTTCACTGTGTATATAGATCTTTTCCCTTTTATGTGCGCCTATAAACTAATTTTGGGGCACCACATTTGTGCATTTAGGAAAGCTCTGTACATTAAAGGGATTTTACCTGTTTTCTATTCTTTGTGAGAGAGATGTTTTTATCAGTTTCAGCCTGGCTGAAACAATCTGGCTATTAAATATCGGCCAAAAAAATTTAAGGGATTCTGCTCCATTATTTCTTTTTACTTACAATCTGGTATATTCTGGCTTCAGGTGAGGCTGTGAGTTTCATAAATAAAGAGGGTTACAGGGCTGGCTTATGAATATGATATTTCATCCTACAAGGCTATTTCATGAAGTTCCTGATTATGGGATTGTTCATATTTAAAAGGTCTAAATTTCAGAAATTAGAGCTCTATAGTTTAGATATTTTGAGGTATTGTGACACTGTTTGATTTTTTTTTTAACATGTCGTGGATTCTTTATTGTTGAAATATATCCTTGATGTTTGTTGAGACATTTCTCAGGAACATTATATTAATTTCCAAAATGAAAATAAAATATGGGTGTTAAAATTGAAAAGTTAGCATCTCTTAGTGAAAAAAACCAAGGTTGCAGCCAAATCTACAGTTCTATACTTAACTGGAAAAATTTACAGAGCTGCCAACTGGAAAGTAAAATCTAAGAACCAAAACAAGTCGCCTTATGCTACCTAGTGGCCAGCAGAAGTGAAAACTGGGTATTGCTTTTGCCAAAAGAAATAAGAAAATAATCCTTTGATTTTAATTTTAATCATGATTTCTCATCTATTTTATGCTTAGTTCATCTGGTTTAAAGCTATATACAGCATGCATATATAGCAGGGGTCCCCAACCACCGGTCCCCGGACCGGTACTGGTCCGTGGATCATTTTTTACCGGGCCGCAAAGCTTGGGCGCCGCCATCTTGTTTCAACAGCGCTTCCGGGTTTTCGGTTGCTTCCGGGTTTTTGGTTGGAAAGTGCTTCCGTTTTTTCAATTGGAAAGTGGCGTTTGGGTGCTTGTGCCTTAGTTTCGTTGAAGGGGGGGCGGCTTTGAACGAAGAGCTGTCCCGATGGTGGTGGAGTCTCATGTTACTCAGGTACCGGTCCGTGCAAGAATAAATAATCGTGAAACCGGTCCCTGGTTCGAAAAACGTTGGGGGCCACTGATATATAGGATATATATATTTATAATTAATATGATTAATTATGCATATTGACCTTCAGAACTCCTGGTGTTGTATAATAAATAAGCAAATGCTCTCCTATTTAGAATTTTGTTTATTGAATTTTGTGGCGGGTATACTAATTGGATTCTGATCAGTAAAGTTTATCCATGATCTTGTAGTGCTATTTCTACTCAGAGTGGATAGTCCTTGTCTTACGACTACAACTGAGCTCAACATTTCTGTTGTTAAGTGAAACATTAGTTAAATGAGTTTTACCTCATTTTATAACCTCCTCTGCCACAATTGTTAAGTGAATCACTGCAGTTGCTAAATTAGCAACATGATTGTTAAATGAATCTGGTTTCCCCATTAACTTTTCTTGTCAGAAGCTCACAAAAGTTGATCAAATGACCTTGGGGCACTGCAACCGTCACAAATATGAGACGGTTGCCAATCATCTGAATTTTGAACATGTGACCATGGGGATGTTGCAGTGACTGCATGAAAGATGGTCATGAGTCACTTTTTTCATTGCTGTTGTAATACTGAATGGTTACTAAATGAACTCTTGTAAGTCAAGGACTACCTATAATAGTGTGATTTAATTAAAAGGAGTATAAATTTCTATCTTGTATCCGTATGTATGGCTAGTTGCTGATCAGCTTAATTTCTGGGCTGGTCTGTATTTTCCATATGTTTATACTGCCATAGGATTAATTGTTTTACTTTTCTCTTTCTTCAGTGACAAATTTGTCTGTTATTTTAATAACATAGGTAAAACATTTCAGAAAGCATATAACTGATTTTTTTCCCTCAATATATACCCAATATTGTCCTAATCCCATAATTATGAAAGCCTAAATACATACTACCACTACATGGACATACCTCAATCCAGCACTAGCATATATTATGTGTTGAATGTTGGTATGATTCTTACAGTATAAATCAGCCTTTCCCATAAATCAGACTTCCTAGCCTGGTGCCCTTCAGATGTGATGGGAGAGAAGTCTAAGTTAAAATTATCTTAGTTTTAACTATAGTATATATATCCTTCAAATTCTCCATTCCAATACATAAAATATTTTCTTAAAATCTTCTACTATAATCACATGTCACTAAAAAGTTCCTTCCATCTGAAATTCCTAAACTTTATCCTCCCTCCCCATCTTTTAACATCTTAATGGAGAAGAAAAGAAGGAGATTTTCTCAACATGTATCTCCTTTCTAAGTTGGTGTTTTTCAACCCTGGCAACTTAAGATGTGTGGCCTTCAACTCCCAGAATTCCTTACCCAGCACAGTGAGGTATTCTGGGAGTTGAAATCCATAAATCTTAAGGTTGTCAAATTTAAAAAAACACTGTTCTATATTGTTCAGTTGAGGAAGTCTTCTTGTTTCCTTTTAGGCCCTTTATGATTAATTATATTAGGGTTACCTTTCTTTCCAGCTAAGAAAAAAAATTCCAAGTTTTCTTTAATGCATGTTTTTAAGACCTGTATCTTTGTTTCAGACAGCAGAAGTGGCCCTGGCGAACCTGAAGAATAAATATGAGAATGAGAAAGCCATGGTAACAGAAACGATGACTAAACTGCGCAATGAATTAAAAGCTTTGAAAGAAGATGCAGCAACCTTCTCATCCTTGAGAGCCATGTTTGCAACCAGGTACAGAAACAAAGTGTTAAAACAGGAGTTTGACTGGTTAAGCAGGAGTTTAGGTTTGGCTCTGCATGAACAAAGAGCCAAGAACCAAGTCTCCTTGAGTCACACTTCTATTCAGATTTGAACAAAGATGGGTCTTCCCATAACCCAGAATGATGTCAAGCTTTTATTCTTTCCTGGGAAGCTTTTATTCTTTACTGGGTGTCCTAAAAAAGAACTAACAAAAGTCTGCTCAGCAGTAGGTAAGCAAAGTACCGAGAGACCCAAACACCCTCCTCCTAGTAATCAGCATTTAAGCATGTTCTTCTAAGAACTCCTGTAGTTTTGCTTATCAGTCTTCTCCATATCCAGGACAAATGCTTCCCATTTCAGCCAATTCAATAGAATTGTTTATTGGCCAGGTGTGATTGGACACACAAGGAATTTGTCTTTGGTGCAGATCCTCTCAGTGTACATAAAAGAAAAGATACATTCGTCAAGAATCATAAAGTACAACACTTAATAATAGTCATAGGGTACAATAAGCAATCAAATCATACTAGGAAACAGTCAATACAAACCGTAAGGATACTAGCAACAAAGTTACAGTCAGAAGTGGTAGAAGATTGGTGAAAGGAAGGATGGGAAGATTAATAGTAATAGTGATGCAGACTTAGTAACTAGTTTGACAGTATTAAGGGAATTATTTGTTTAGCAGAGTGATGGCGTTCAGGGAAAACTGTTCTTGTATCTAGTTGTTCTGGTGTGCAGTGTTCTAATAGCATCATTTTGAGGGTAGGAATTGAAACAGTTTATGTCCAGGATGTGAGGGGTCTGTAAATATTTTCACAGTCCTCTTTTTGACTCATGCAATTGTGGAAAGGGAATTTCATGAAGGCAGTAGTGTCACAAAAAAAAACAAAAAACAGGAAAAGCCCAAGGGGAACATCAGGTCAGCCAGAAGACAAACTTACATAGGAAAAGAAATCAGATAAAAAGTATTAAAGAATCCCTATAGACAAAAGCCTAAGTAATTAGGAAAACTAGACAAATAGGAAAAGGAAACAAAAGTTAATTTAGAAAACCCTTACAAACACAGGACATACCAAATAAGCAAAACAAACAGACAAAAGACACAAAATATAAATTACAAAAGGGACAGACAGGAGATTGCCACAGAACAAATATGAAAAACTATCTAAAAGAGATTACAGAAAGCCAATAATACAATCTGGCCACCCCGCAGAGTTTGCCTTCCGTACCCCGCAGAGTTTGCCCTCCGATGGAAATAAAGACAATGCCAAACAGGATTTGAAACATTAGGCACAAATACAAACATTCACACAAAATCAACTTACAAAGGGAGAAAAGGGTATAAAAAACCAGGAACTTACCATAAGAAGCTAGCTAGCCTAGGAACGCAGACTTCTCGCTGTTCTCCGCCTTCCTGAAAAATAAAAAGATCCAGCTTTCAAGCAGTTGTCCGTATCCTTGTGCTAGAGCTCTCCCAGCAGGAAAATCGAATCCTCGAAAGAAAGGCATTTTGACACCTTTCAACACAGTTTACAGGTCCTCAATGGAAGGCAGGTTGGTACTAATCACATCCCAGACATAAACTGTTTCAACTCCTTCTCTCAAAACAATGTTATAGAGCATTGCGCACCAGAACAACTAGACACAAGAACAGTTTTTTCCCAAAAGCCATCACTCTGCTAAACAAATAATTCCCTCAACACTGTTCAACTATTTACAAAGTGTACATTACTATTACTGTTAATCTTCTCACCACTCCTTATCACCCATCCCCTCCCACTTGACTGTTTCCTAGTATGATTTGATTGTTGATTGTACCCTATGACTATCATTAAGTGTTGTATGTTATGATTCTTGATTCTTAATGAATATAACTTTTCTTTATGTATACTGAGAGTATTTACACCAAGACAAATTCCTTGTGTGTCCAATCACACTTGGCCAATAAAGTATTCTATTCTATTCTAATTGTTTTTTCTGCGGTCCTAACTATCCTCTGAAGTCTGTGTCTGTCTTGTAGGGTTGCAAAACCAAACCAGACAGTTAAAGAAGTGCAGATGACAAACTCAATAATTCATCTATAGAACTGCATCAGCAGCTCCTTGGGCAGTTTGAGCTTTCTGAGTTGGCACAGAAAGAACATTATTTGTTGTGTTTTTTTGATGACATTTTTGATGTTAGGTGTCCATTTTAGGTCTTGAGATATGATAGAAACTAGAAATTTGATTCTTTTCTGTCCATAGTATTAATTTGTGAAGGTCACAATAAAGTCAGTAGGGATAATTCCTTTCCTTCCTGTTTCTTTTTAAAAATAATAATAATAGAATTGTTAAACTATATTTATTAAATATTTATTTGGAATGTTAAAAATGAGCATAACCTGGACTCGTGAAGCTAATAAGAAAAGAAAGTGGACTTCAAGATGCATTGGTGGGGGAAAAATTACTTAAGAATACACTAGCAATTGGAAATGATCCAAGAATTATTTTATTGAAACTTAGCAAGTTACAATGAGTCTTTGTTCTTCAACTATCAAGAGAGAAGAACATCAACCAAACTCTTATAAAAGAGTTGTAGAGATTGAAAAATGAGCATATTATACATTTGGCCATTGACAAATAATTGTTTTAGCTCTGATAAGGGAGACAGTTAAGGGTACAAAGGAATTTGAGGGCCCCTGTGAGAAAGAACACTTTGTTATGCATATTACTTAGCCTGTGAGAACTTGGAATACCAATTAAGTTGATGGTTAATCTAATCTGCCTCTCTGCCTCTTTGAAAATGGGAAGTTGTAAACATACAGATAGAGTATACAGAACAATAAAGATATTCTCCACAATATTTAAATGTTAGGACTTCTTAGTTTAGAACGAAGACAAAACATGATTTAAAAAAATATCCTTTAAAATGTCAACCTCTTTTAACCTCATACTTTATCAAATTAAACAAGGTATTTTTTTTAAAAAAAGGTATTTCTTTTCTTGGTTATTTTTAACTTTAAACAAGGTTTATGAGCTCCATAAAAGAAGCCGCTGCCCTTTGCTTTTAGTGAAAGGAAGTAATAAAAAATGTAAATTAATCTTTCAATAGAAAGCTTTCACTTATACTATTTAGTACTATTTTACAATTCTGTTGATTCTGTATGTTGCATGCACAAAACTACCATTCTTATTTCTCTTTTGTTTTATTTTATAACCTCTTGCTTAAATTAGCCATTCAAACATTTGTAGAATTAAGTTCGACCCCTTGATAAATAATGGGGTCAGACTCCACTTAAATGCAGCATAATGTGATTTTCTAAAACTTAGCTTGTAAAGGATATATAAGCAAACAGGCTCTATTTTCAATAAAATTACAGATGCTTCACTCAGTGACTAAAAGAGTAACACGGTATTTGACTCTCTGGAAAAATGCCATTTTGGTTTCATGGATATTTTCTGCTTTAATTTGTCAATGATCATCAAACATTAAGATATTTTTTTTAAAAAAATAGTCATCCTCCTATCCTGAAAACAGCCCAGATAAATGTAGCAGAACTCACTTTCAAAGTAAGAACTATACTAGCAACAAAAGCCAACAAAAGAAAATTGCTTTCAGTACCTAGCTGGTCTATGAATACAAGGAAACATGGAAAATACTTTTAAATAACAAAATAACAGAAATAAATAAATGGAAATCGAAATAAATAAATAGAAACAGTCAATTTTGGAATGGCAAACCTCAGATAAAGAATGTTTCCAAGCAAATACAACTCAGGCAAACAAAGTCACTAATTTATGGATAAAGGAGGATTAGAGAGGGGAAGTAGACATATGTTAGACTTTAACTAGAGATAATTAATTGTATAGATTACTGTACTAAACAGTAACGAAAGTTAAGTAGTAACCAAAGTTAACCAATGATGGAGGATAACTAAAAATGTATATAAATGCAAGACTCTACTCCAATAAAGATCATCATAATTCAGTTGTTCATGATCAAACAACTCGACTGCCTCGACATTACAACAAATACTTTTATTGGAAATATCATATTGGCACATATCTGGTGAAAAACAACTCTGAAAACTCCTACAGTTTTCACCTAATTAAAAGTGAAAGATTCTCAAAACAATCAGTCACATGGTCCAGTCACTATGTGGTCTAACAACCGGGTAACATCTCTCTGCTTTCCTCCATCCAAGTGTGAGAATGTCCTTGGTTCCCAAGAGAAAGTATAATGTTTTGGCTACAAAATCTCCTCTATCTCAAATCCCCCCTCCCTATCCCTCAGCTGCCATGTGGCAACACCGAAGTAGTCAAAATAGCTTCAATCAGGCCAGCTTCAGGGTTGGCTTTTTTTTTTTTTACACACTGACATAATTTTGAACTGTTGTTAAAGGACACAATTGATAATCAAGGACCATATTTCATTACAGTGGGTCTCCTGGTGTGCTCTGACTTAGGCAGCTCTTTTAAGGCAGAACATAAAGAAGGATATAAAAGATCGTTCTTTTGATAGTGAAATGTGTGTATTAATGAAAATTGCCAGATCATAGGTTTTTCCATCGGTCATTCACCCATATTTGTCAAGCAGGAAATGTTGTCTCGCTTGCAACAAAACCACAGCGGAGCTACAGGAAGCTAGAGGTTTAGCAAGATGGGTTAGCAAAGTATTTGTAATAATCCAGCTCCTTTAACCCAGCAACGGGGGGTGTGGGGTGGTAGCTGGAATTCAAAGTAACCAATAAAATGCTGACAAGTTATATTTCTGTGGTTTAGTACTTCTGAAATGTATAAATGTGGTGTCAAATCTATAGAAAAGCGTTCAGATGTTGCCTTGGCTAAATAGCTCTGAACCTTTGTGCAAAAAAAAACCATTTCTGATTCCAAGGTCTGAGACTTGTAATTTCCTGCAACACTTTCTGTTATGGATTTGTGTCCCCAGGTTATTCTTAGTTCATTTGGTTTGAAAGAAGAGTAGATAGATTATATCCATGGTAGAGATTAGGGCAAAAGATGTGCCAGAAAGAACAAAAGCTGCTCTAGAATGTGTGGAGGTGTAAACAACACAAGGATAAAGGATTTCCTTGAAGAAATGTCCATTTGGCAGATTTGCAACTTTGGCCAATGGGAAATTCCTTTTTATCTTGAAGTGCCTCAAAGGAATTTTGATGCTTCTGCAACCCAGAGGAATTGCTTTTTAGGACTCCTCTCTCCACTTTGAAAGTGTTGATGCTGGTGTCCACTTGGTTCATGTTTGCAAAAGAAAAAAGGCTGGCCAGGACACATGCCCAGACAGCTTAACCTGTTCCTCTTTCCTTCTTTCCCTCCAGATGTGATGAGTATGTCACCCAGTTGGATGAGATGCAGAGACAATTGGCAGCTGCAGAGGATGAGAAAAAAACCTTAGATTCTTTGCTGCGGATGGCTATCCAGCAAAAACTCGCCCTGACTCAACGCTTGGAAGACTTAGAGTTTGATCATGAGCAGTCCCGGCGGAGCAAAGGCAAACTTGGGAAAACCAAGATCGGCAGCCCTAAAGTAAGTGAGGAGGCATCAGCCACCGTGTCAACCATAGACACTTTCCTCCTGCATAGTCAGGGCCCACAACCACCAAACATACTGGTCAGCAGTGGCACTCAGAGGAAAAGGTATGCATGCAGTCCTATTTATAGTACAGTGCAATGGCCTGACTTGACTCAAGGTCATCCACTGAATTGCAAATACATTATATATATTTATGAGAAGAGGTTGGGGATGGGGAGGAGAGAAGTAATGGCTTTTCAAACTGTAAACACGGGCTGTTAATTCCATCTGTCATGGTATTTTCTTGTCCCTTTTGATACGGTCGTAGTTCATGCCGTCTTAGCATTTTCAACATATTCTGTATGTCTTGAATGCCTCTGTTTGGGAAGAACTGACTACCTCAGGTGCAGAGCTGAGCCTGTGTTGTAAAAAAGCACATCCACTGAAAAAGGGAACATTCTAATAAAATTTGGTGCTAATATATTTCCCTCAGTGGGTAGAAGTGTTTTCATTCCCATGTGCTTCTCAGTGTTTGTGTCAAAAAAAGCACAAAGAACGAGCCTCCAAGATAAACCCATATATGGTTATCCTGCTAAAGGCTGCACTACTGTAAGGAACAATTTCCAAAAACCACTTCAAGTGTGTATTCCTACAGGTTTAGTTCTGTTCGGCGTAACTGTTAACCACAATTATGTAAATATGTAGGAAGTCTCCATTCTAAAGAAAGAACAGACGGTGACCCACCAAGCCATACCCAACGATATATTTATGATGTTGATTTGTAGTAGATTTACGTTGCTGTGGAACAACGTTAATTCCTGGCAACATTCACAAACCATCTCTAGTGATGCTGTCCCTAGTGTGATGAGTGGCAACAAGAATAGATTGTATTGAATGAATGCCAGGACATCACAATATTGACTTGGCTTGATTGATCACTCAAGTTGAACCCTTTACCTGTTATTTTTCCTGAGATATACAAAATCCCTCCCTAGCATTCTATTATGGGGTGATAGCATACTATTATGGGGTGACAGCAATTATAGAAGATGTTAGCAATATTTTGGGTGATTTCTCAGGAGGGTGGGTGATGTGTGATATTTAATTCCAGGGGCCATTGCTCAGTAATTAAAGTAAAAACTCTTTTGTTTCCGTATGTATTTTTTTCTTGGATCTTCTGCAAGACAATTCTCACCTTCCCCTTGTGATCAGAGCCATTCCAGGACTTCAGGGACCTATCTACTGCCTTTATTAAGAACCCCCCCAGATCACACCTCCACAGAGTCATTTCTTCTGAGGGGCCCCATTTCCATGAATGAATCCTTCCATGGGCACCGTCTCAGCAAGGAAAAAAGGTTAACCGTAGCCATCCCAGGTAAACATTTTTTCCTTGGGCACATGTAGTGCAAAATGATTAGCTTAAGTAGAAGGGGAATCCTCTCCAAGTGCTCTACATGCCATCTTTAATTTGGACATATGCTCACCTCTTCAGAAATGAGCATCCGCAAAGTGTTTTCCCAAAGCTCATTATTGACGAAGCAGATGGAGGGTTTAATACCAAAGATCTTCTACTTATTTAAATTTCTACTAAACAAAAGATAGAGTGGTTCATATTTCTCTCTGGTGAAAGGTTAGATCGGTATTTCTCAACCGTTGCAACTTCAAGGTATCTGGTGGAATTCTGGGAATTGAAGTTCACGTATCTTAAAGTTGGGAAACACTGAGTTAGATAGTGATTTAGAAGCATCTCAGTGAAATAACCTTCCCTGGGCCTTCTTCTCCCATTATGAACTAAGTAACTTGTAGACTTTCTAGCTCATATTAAGCCAAAGTTATGTGTTTTGCCTGGATTAAATAGCAAACATTAAGACAGATTTCCCACCCACCCCCCAGTTCAGAGGTAAAAAATACTCTCTGGATAAATACTGAAGGCTGCCAACCACAGGAAAAATGACAGATAAGATCTTCTGCCCCAACATTAATTCAAAATTTGTAAAAATGGTTTATGAAGTCTCATGCAATGTGACCAGTGCTCATAAAACTTTAGCCACTAACTCTTAAATTCCCTTTCTATATATCTGTGTATAAAACATATGGGCAGAACAAAAGAGAAATATAGAAAAAAGAAATCTTTTGCATACATACTCCACTGCACATATAGAATATGATGGATATATTTTTATACAGAAAATAGTGTTAGTCTTTTTCTCAAATTGCATTCTGTAGGAATGTTTTGATAAGAATAAGTGCTTACTTTCCCTGTGAATCATGATTAAAAATTCACATTTATAGAAGCTTAGGAAAATACTGTATACACAAGGCAGAACCTAACTTATTAGCTCTAAAAGAAATACCTTTTTCATGAACTAATACGTGGAGGGCTTTGGCTGTTCTAGACCTTGGATTTTCAACAATCTTCTCCTAATAGAGTTTAGTCACTTATGCCAATCAGCTTTGCTAGTTCAAAAAGGGTGAAAATGTAACCAGTTTCCAAACATTAGTATAAATATTCAAAGAAGCCATGGATTTACCATCGGCAGTTACTGACTCTCAAACAAAATCTTTTTATATATATATATTTGCAATTATTCCCAACCTGTAGCCATGATTTAAACTTAGTTTAAAATGCCAGTGTGCATTTTATATCCAAGATTATAATCCTAGCTTATTTCTAATTGGTTTTCAAGACTTGATCCTTGCTAATTTGTAAAAGTATGAGAGCAGAGAAGATAAAGAAAAAAGAAAAAAAATGTTGTTTAAGCTAAATTGCTTATTATTGCTACTCTCATCTCCATTTCTTAACTTTTCATCCTCTTTCAGCATTCAGGTTTCCCTGCTCAACCCTTTCCTTATCTAGCATTTTGGCAATGTCAGAATGCTCCCGCTTTTTTTTTTGCTGTGGCTTTTCATAGAAAAAAAAAGACTATTGTTTTTAAAATGTAGATAGTACTCATTTAGAGCAAAATGAATTTTTTTTAAAGGGGAGCAAGTGTTGATACTCAGCATTGATTGCAGGTTGTTTAGGATGGGTTTGATGTTTTATAGACTAATTTATTTAATATCAACAAAATTGGGATTCCTCATCCTCATCCTTTTTGACCTGGGGCACATTAATCAGTTAGATAAAACGCTATAAAGTTATTGCCAGGCCAATCAGAAAATGAACTGCTATCTACAGAAATATTTGTAGTGATACATAGGTAGTCAAAATATAAAACAGATTTCTTGTTTCAACAGAACTGTTTTTTTTTTTTAATTAAAAATGGTTTAGTTACAGAACATAAATAAAAGACAGGGCTGAAGTCTTGTTTTCTCTCCTTCCTCCACAAAGCGTAATAAATATCGCTTTCACAAAAGAGAACTTGTAGTACTTCAACCACTCTCCTGTACAACTTTAAGTTGTGTGCAAATGCTGAAGAGGAACCATCTTATGATACAAAACTGCCCTATTCCATCTTGGAACTCAATGGAATTCACTTTTTAATAGAACTACAGTCTAAACTACTGTATTGGATATGAAACAGAACAGTATCAACTTGTCCGTTTTTCAACAATCTCAAAGAACCCAGGTTTAAAAATTGTCTAAATATCTTCTGAGTGGAGACCACAAAGAACAAGGTTAAATATAGTTTTAGGTGCTTGCTTTAAAGAAAAATCTTGCTGTACATTTGCAGATCAAAGCATAGTTTCAGAGAATACTGTATGTGGAGCTCAAGAATAATTAGTTTAGAAAAAAGATAGATGTTAACTAATTAGTATAAATAAAAGCTGAAAACTCATATTGACATAGTTTCTCAGATGGAGAACCTTGACACATTTCAAGCAATTGCAGTGGTGTCACTCAACCTTTTTATAATTTCCACATTTGAAAGATGCTCCCTCTTCTTGACTGTTGATTACAGTTTTTTATTGTTATAATATTATGTTTTATACTATGTTTGATTTTGTATACTTTAAAGAATATGAGGCAGTTTATAAATCTTAAACTATAATCCACTATATAATTTTGTGGCTGGGATTGTACTCCAGAAAATTCCACAAGCATCACCTTTATGAGCTGGTAAGTCAAACTTGACTCCTGGGGTCTAAATGCAAACATTCATGTTGGTGTTTTGTTTTATGCAAGCATTTTTGCCACTGACTTTAAAAAAACAAAAAACTTCTTACAGCTGTAGATTTCCCATCTCATCTGACTGTACAGATAGTCCTCAACTTACAACAGTTCATTTAGTGACCGTTCAAACTTACAGCAGCACTGAAAAAAAGGACTTATGACAGTTTTTCACGCTTATGACCATTCTAGCCTCCCCAGGGTCATGTGCTTAAGATTCATACCCTTGAACTCATATTTATGACATTTGCAGTGTCCAAGGGTCATATGATTACCTTATAAGCAAAGTCAATAGGGAATCCAGAGTCATTTAACTACTATGTTGCTGACTTAACAATTACAGTGATTCACTTAACAACTGTGGCAAGAAAGGTCATAAAATGGGGCAAATTTCATTTAACAAATATTTTGCTTAGCAACAGAAATTTTAAGCTCACTTGAGGTTTACCTGTACTTAGATTTTTCAAGATCAGCTAGGTGCTGTCATTTGCTGTGACCTTCCAGAACCTACTACTATGTTTCCCCCAAAATAAGTCCCAACTGGAAAATAAGCCCTAGCATGATTTTTCAGGATGCTGGTAATATAAGCCCTACCCCCAAAATAAACTCCAATTAAGATTGTCAACCAGACAGATGCATTTAGTACCATATTTCTCCCAAAATAAGATTTAAGTAGAAAATAAGTCATAATGTATCTTTTGGAGCAAAAAATAATATAAGACCCAGTGTTATTTGGGGGGAAACATGGTATCTCTATAGGACCTAGTAGATATGTACTGCACAAAGTCCTTCTAAAAAAAAATCTCCCATAACTTTCAAAGCATTCAGGCAAAATATTATTTTATGACTAGAGTCCTGGCTGAAAAATGGAAGGAAAATAAATCAGAAATTGACCAGCCTACCTTTGATGAGGTTACTTGATCCAAATTATAGTGGACAAGATAGGATGAAAACAAGTGGCATTATTCAAACCCAAACCACTGTATGATTTCACATCTAGTTGTGAGAGGCAATCAAAATAAATTATTATTAATGTTACCTTGACAAAACCATCTCTTTTGTTCTTTGCTTATTACTTACAAGTTCCTCTCTTCTACCTCTCTAAAGTTGTGGCTCCAGTGGAACCTTTCCAAGTACAGGACATCTCTCCTGAGGAACACTTGAGAGCCATTTTGATGGATTTGGCATCTAGGCCCAAAACATGTTACCAAATACAAGGTGGGGGTATTTTTAGTCATATAAATAATTCTACCACCCCTAATAATTACTTTGTTGGATGTTTGGCTAAAGTTGGTCCCAAGGTACTATGTCTTTGGTGGAAATGGGTTAAACTGGTATATTTTTAATGTTAAATGCAAGAGACAAATAGCCCCATAATTTCTTATAGTCCATATTCTTGCTTTGTTGTCCCAGTCAAATGTAGAGAATAGAATGGAATGGAATGGAATGGAATGGAATGGAATGGAATGGAATGGAATGGAATAGAATAGAATAGAATAGAATAGAATAGAATAGAATAGAATAGAATAGAATAGAATACTTTATTGGCCAAGTGTGATTGGACACACAAGGAATTTGTCTTGTTGTAAATACTCTCAGTATACATAAAAGAAAAGATACATTCATCAAGAGTTGAGAATCATAAGGTACAACACTTAATAATAGTCATAGGGTACAATAAGCAATCAAATCATACTAGGAAACAGTCAATATAAATTGTAAGGATACAAGTGACAAAGTTACAGTCATACAGTCACAAATGGGAGGGGATGGGTGATAAGGAAGTTTGTTTGAATACCCTTTTAATGTCTCAAAGCAATGTAAAAATAGAATAAAATGTTTCAGGGAAATATACCGTGTTTCTCATATAATAAGGCTGGGTCTTATTTTTTTTTTGAGCCCTGAAAAGATGGCTAGGCCGTCTTTTCGGGGGTGACTTAATTCCCCCCCCCCTTGCATCTTTGGGTGGGCGGGCGGTGATGGCTTGGATGTTGACCTCGGCGTTGGTGGGGCACTTCGTATTGGGGTCAACGCAGGCAGAACCATATCAAAAGTACTTCCTAACGGCAAGCCCCCCACCATTCTCCCCCATTTTGCATGTTTTAATATAGGCCTTAATTTGGGGGGAGGGGCTTAATTTCATTTCATAACTATAAAACATGCTGGGACTTCCTATTGGGGGAGGCTGTATTGTTGGAGAAACAGGGTATATACACACATACATACATATATACATACATACATACATACATACATACTATTTT